CCTCATCTAAAAGTTCCTTCAAAACTTCTGCATTTAGCACGTGCCCAGAAATGCCCAATGTGAGCTGCCAGGCACCCAGCTTTCATTTAAGCCACATTTCGAGCAAGAGACTAAGTGCAGGGTTCAAATTACACTGACTCTTGGGGGCGGATCTGCAAAAAAAAATTAAACCAGTTCATTGGAAGGAGCAATCCAATCAGAGACCCACCCCTCAGTTATAATTTTCAAATCTTACAGGGGGTCTCTCGTCTCTTATGGGGGGGCTCAACCCACCCAAAATCCACTGTAATTCACAACCCAAGTGGCAGCACCCAAGTTCCCCAAGACACTCCGTCTAGTAGGTATACTCTAAAGATGCCTTCCACATGCTGAAAGTTCAGCACAAAACACATCATCACTTTCACTGAAACACATGGGCAGAGAAGAGTCTGCTAACACACCTTTTATGTAGTAGCTTAGTGGGTAGAGCATGCACCCAGGAAGTGACAGATGTGGGTTCTTGGATTTCCTCAGTCCTGCATGAAATGTGTATTCAAACCCTCTTTTCCCACCTGCTGAAAGAGTACAGTAACCACCAGGCTGTAGGGTCATCTGGTTGAGGCTATCTTCCTAACCTTCCTTCTGAAGCTGGGTCACTGGGCTGCAATGAATACAAGATTCATGGGACCAAAAGGAGAATAATTAAGAAAGAGCATTATTCTGTAACTGAGTTGTTAAGGCACCCAAGTGGGAGGAAGAATTGATTCTGGATGCAGTCCCACAGATGCAGTCCCACAGATTGTTCATGCCTTTTTTAATAAACAGTAATTGGACAAAAAAGATATAAATCTGAGAGCAGGGGCTGGAGCTCATAAATCCATTCATCCAGCTGAATTCCCTAATGACTGAGCAATCAAATCATGTTGCTTCTTGTTTATTCACCTTCTGACCTTATGAATCTTGCATTCTTTACTGCACACTAGTCTGGCCATAACAGAACTAATGGACAATGCTAGTATCTAGCCTAGCCTATAACCTGGTGGATAGGACTCTCTCCTAGGAGGTGGGTTGTATATTTTTGAATCCCCTAGACTAAGGAGGGACCTCCTACTCCTTGGGGAAGTGTTCTGATTATAAGATGGAAAGGCACCAGCAATGTTTGTCATCATCAGGGATCTTGGTTTTCTGATAAAAAAATCCAAAATTTTCTGATTAAAAAACCCCTAAAATCCATATTTTTCCATGATTAAAATGAAACACCACTATATATAGTGCCATTTCATTTTAATTGTGGAAAAATGTGGAGATTATTGATAAATATATAACTATAGTGCACCCCCCCGACCCCACCCAGGGTTAAAAGATACATACCTCATTGAATTAGGTACCCTAATCCTGATTGAAGCAACTATCTTATGTGGCTTCTTATTTTAATTACAGTGGCTTCTCGTTTTAATTACAGAAAAATATGGATGGGGGGGCATTAAATCAGAAATTTTTAAACTTTTTTTTATCAGAGAAAACCGCGATATTGGGTCATCACCACTGCCTCTTTTTAAAAGAATAAGACTCATCTTCTGCTCTCAAAGAATACTTGTAGGTAGAGGTGCACCGATACATTGGTCTGATATTGAATCAGTATGGATATAAAGAAAACTGGCTTTATTGGATATTGTCACAATGGGGCCAATAATTTGGCTGATAAATGACTGTGCTGTGCTCAGCTGTAGTGCAGCACTCAGGCAGGGAAAAGCTGAGCATGGGGGGATAAAAGCGGCCCCTTGCCCGCTCCGTGGCTGGCGCCTTGCGCTGCAGCCACTCACAGCCCATGTGGGGCTCTTTTTACTCGCACTCAGCTTTTCCCCGGGCTCCTTCCTGGAGTGGAGGAAAGTGGGCCCTCGCTGCAGCCGCTCACAGCCTGCACAGGGCTGTCCAGAATAGGCAAAGACAGCCCCATGTGGGCTGCGAGTGGCTGTAGCAAGGGGGTGCTGGCCACAGGGTGGGTGAGGGGCCACTTCTCCCCTCCTCATGCTCAGCACCACCTTGTGACCCGGCCCCACTGCCAGCCTGGGCCCTGCGCTGGCGCCAGGCTCGCCTGTAGGGGCTGCATGTGGTGACAGCAACTGCAGCCCCCCCACTTGCTGCACTGGGCAGTGTTTGCCACTGCCGCCTGTGGGCTGCCCAGCACACAAGCTCCGGGGGGGCTGCAGCTGCTGCCACTAACAGGTGAGCCTGGAGCAGGCTTGCAGCCCAGGCTGGCAGCGGGGCTGGGTTACAAGCTGGTACTAAGCGCAGGGAAAAGCAGTCCCTTGCTCACCCCATGGCCAGTGCCCTGTGCTGTAGCCACGTGTAGCAGGGAAGGGAACCAAATGTCCATGCTCATCTGGACGTGCCCAAATAAACAATCTTACTTATAAAATCAGCCTACTTGTTATGTAAATCAGTGAAAGACAAAATTCATACATAATATGGTTTAAAATAAGGAGTTTAAAATAAGGAAAAACTCTCTTGGTTTTGATATACATGCAAACTTTTTATTTTTGAAAAATTAACAATTTATGTTGTCATTTTATCATTACCATACAATTTTAAATTTGTTTAACATTAAAATAAGTAAAAGTCTTTAATAAAAACCATAAATATCCCTCGGAACTGTCTTTCCTGGCTCCATGATTTAAAATAAACCTTTTATCAGGCTCATTTTGCAACTTTCACCTGAGGATTTTAAAACTATTGATTTCATCTCCATTCATATCATTATACTCTAGTATAATGATAACATTTATTATAATACATGCACACACACATATACAGGTAACTGAGAAACAGAAATGGAGACCAAATTTTTCAAACTTAGGCCCCTAAAGTTTGCTGCAAAAATAACATAGTTGCTGCAATGTAGATTAAGGTATCTAACTCAAAGAGATATGAATTTTTAGCCTAGGGTGAGGTCTTGGGGGATGCAGTGGTGCAGTCGCACCCCACCCCTTTGTTTCCTGCTTCTGCTGGAGGGAGGAGAGTCAGTGGGGGGATGTGGCTGTGAGGGAGATAGAGGGACTCCCCCAGGCTCTCTCCAACACAGCATAAAGAACTACTTCCACTCTTTGGGCAGATCAAATGGAGGTCTGGACATGGAATATGGCATGGACTGCATGGATTGCACAGAATCCGTGCACGCATTGCATGGAATATTGCATGGAATATTGCACATGATGCTCATGTAAACACTGACTACAGGTATAAATTGCACCCAATTAGCCCAGACAGCCACCGGCCTGCTCCATCCTGACTCAAACAGTATTGTCCCGGGCACACATGTAGATGCTGTGCCCAGGAGCAGTATACTCCAGCTGTAACTGCTCTGAAGTTTATTGTAGTGTATTAATTGCACATGTAAATGTACCCAAAATTCTTTGCTTCAGAAGTTTCTAGAATTATAGAAAAAAATCTAGAACAGTTTTTTTATGGTAAATAAGAAAAGTTAACTGTATACAATTACTAACACATATTCATAGGCACAGGCTTATAAAATGTGCTCAGATATGTAAATGCGACAGCTTTGCTTTACAGTAAAGATTTGGAAAAGGAGATTGCTGGCATTTCAGTCGGCACTCTTACACACTGCATCTAATTCACCATTGCATGATTATAATTATGTCAGTGGCTGTGTGTACACGTGCGCTTTACTGCACAGTGACTTTTTTACTGCACATTAAAACGTCATGTAAAAAACCATGACATTATACTAATGTGCAGTAAAATAGTCTGTGCATTAAGCATCACTAAAAACATTGTGCAAATGCCCTTCTGTGCATTAGCATAGCCTAATGCACTTTAATTTAGTATCTCACATTGGAGGTACTAAATTGAATGCATATTAGAAAAGATGAATTAATACATATATAGATGCACCCAGTGTAAGTTAACTAAAATCAGTGCATTTGTGCCAGCATTAGCTGGACCAATATAGGAGTGAATCCGGTCCTACTCTTTTCAAAACATCATCATAGTCACTTGGCTCCAATTCACTAGGGATTTGCAAGCTAAATAACACATATCAGGCCTAATATATGTGGTACCATTTTTTTCCCCCACCTCCTACTCCAAAATGATGCCTACTGTATTTGAATGCTGTGATACAATATTGAATTCACATGTTGAAGTCAATGATTAAGATTAATAAAACTTATTTTGTGAACTGAATTTCCAGTTGTTACAAAAAAATAATTGAAAGATGAGGTACAGAGCTGCATGATCTGAGGAAAAAACTATGCCATATTTCTATAGTTTACAAAGATATAATGAAAGTAAAAAATACAATTAGCATTTATTCCCACCGTCCTAATTCAGATAAGATTTTCACTGAAATAGCTGAAGTCATTTTGGCTTATTAGAAGTTTTCCCTATATAAAAGTATCAGAATCTGACCCCAAAAAAGGATTAAAAGAGAATTTTACCCTATTAGTGGCAAACATTATAAGGCTTAAACTACACTTAAATCCCACTATTACACTATACAATTTTTTTTAATTCCAGATGCAACTCTTATAGAAAGCATCAGGCTCCTATACACATGCAGTGAGGCTACTCCAAATCACTGTAATTACAGTGCGTTGGAGCAGATTCAATTAACTGAGGCTGCTAGAGTGTGGTAATTACTGCACTCCAGCAGACTCCAGCATCACATGTACCAAAGTCCCTAGGCTGAAAAACAGTGGTGGGGGCACTTTAACTAAAGCTCATTTGATGAGCTTTAGTTAAAGTGTCCCCGCTGTCATTTTTCAGTGGGGGGATGCTGATATATGTGATGCTTTGGGCACTTTAATTAGAGCGGCTCTTGGAGCTACTCTAATTAAAATTCCTCCCACCAACTCCTGGAGCACGGGTATAAATGCCCATAATGCACAGAATTCCAAGGTAACATAGCATAGTTTATTCATCATTAAGTATAGGACTTAATTATGTTATCAACTTTAAATTTCCTTAACTCTTATTCGAGAGTTAGATAAAAATGTACTCACCAATGCCGGTGCCTCTACAGTTGCCATTATTAGAATCCATAGGGAAATCTGGCATGGATTCATAAAATATGTAAAGACATGTTAGTATTATTAATACTGGATTATTTCAATACAGCCACATTAAAATGCTTAATTTGCTCTAATATTTAGTATATTAAAAATCAAGACTATATCAATTAAAAGGTGTTACAATGCTTTAGAACCCACCTGTTTCTACAGAAGTCAGCGTGAACTGTATCTTTAAACAGAAGCAGGGCTATGTCTTCAATGCTACGCATTGAAATAAATTCTGTGTTACTTATGGCAAAAAATGGAAAATGCCCCACTTTCATTGGTGACTGTGTATAGTGTGGCACGATCTGGACAACAATGAAAATATGTGCCATTTCAGATGTGAACTTGGTGCACCTCTGAATGACCACATGCTGTTTTTTTATTCAGCTAGATGCTGAAGGACACTGTAGCTTTGATTTCCCCAGTAACAAGAAACAAACAAAGCACAATCATGTTACTGAAGAAAATGCCAAAACAGGCATTTCAAATTTTCCCTTCTTAAAAATGTGCTGATTATTTTGGAAAAGAGATAAGAAACAGAAGAGAAGAAAGGTCAGTATGCCGAATTTCAAAATAAATAAATAAAACTGTTCTTTTGGGAACATCTCTAACTGGAAATGTTTGCCATAATATGATGCATATGTTCAAATCTACTGTTTATTAAACCACACCAATGTTTATAGGGTTTATATGCATGTTTTACAATGAAGACATATGAACTGTTGCATATAATGTTTTACACAAGGAAAGGTATAAATATGTCTATGTATAGCAGCATATATAAGTGCCGGCAGAATCAATGAGGGTACTTGTGCCTGTGTGCACTCCCATGTAAATTGATGGGGCTCACTGGGGGTTCAGCTGCAAGGTCAGGACTATTATTTATATTTAATAACAGCTTATGACTTACAAATACATACACAATATGTGCCTAAATATGGATGTAAGAACCTATCTTTAGGTATCTAGTTTTCTTTTAATTTTGGCTATACATTACTTATTACTTTCTTAATACCTAGTTATACATCATATGGTCTGCAACATACTTCACATATCTGGAGAAATGGAGATAAGACATGAAGTATAAATGTAGATATTGGAATACCACTGTTTGCTTAACTAAAAAAACAAACCTGGCAATACTGAAACTTCAGAATCAAACATCTGTATCAATGTAGTCAGCACAAGGACACAGGAAATGCCATAGCACAATGAAGTAGTTGTCTTTTCAGTCCAATATCCTGTCTCTGACAATGCTTCAAACTATTTGCCTCATAAGAAACTATCAAACCTTCCCTGTACCTAATTTTACAGTAAACATGGAAGACTTTTTCCCCTGAAACTAGCATATTTACCTGAATCCAAGATGATTTAGAATCTCAGATGTCCAATGATGCCCCCCCATTAGATTCTCTACGTGAAAAACCTATACATGTGCTATAATTTTCTATCTAAAGAATCCAATTAATGGAAGATCATCTTAAATTCATCCCCCCTCCTGGAGGAGAAAACCATGGTAGGGGGAGAGAGGTCAGACCCGGACCTCTTGCCCCCATCCCACTGTCCTCCCTGCCTGTCCCACTGTCCTTTGCCCATCCCTGCCTCTGCCTGTCTACCCTCCCACTTGCCCCCTGCCATGTTGCCCCCTACTGTCTGCCTCCCACCCCCAGTGCCTATGCCTACCCCTGCCACATGCCCACTAATGACATGCCCTTTGTCCCCTACGCTTCTGCCTGCCCTGTCACCTCTCCCCCCTCCTCACCTCTGTGCCTGTGCCTGCCCTCCACTCACTGTTCTCCACACTCTGCTTTCCTCTGTTCCCTACCCCTTCCCCCCTCCGCCTGCGTCTGCCTCTTCCCAGCCCTCCATCCCCTGCTCTCCCCTGCTGTCTGTCCCCACCCCATGCCTGCATCCTGCCTCCCCCCCACGACTTACCTTCTGGTGCTCTGTTCTGCTCTGTTCCAGCTCTGGGGCAGACAGGGGTGATGGTGGCCCCAACCCTGCCCAGACAGGCAGAAGGAGCAGCGGCAGCTCTGGGCCAGGCCAGGTTGGGGCTGGAGAGGCCAAATCTGGAGCAGAAGGTAAGCAGGGGCAAGGGGCAGGCTCTGCAATCTACTTCCAAGCCACATTGTGTGGTGTCCCCTCCCTCCCCTGCCAGCCAGCTGCACTCCCCTTCCTTGCTGCATGAACCACTTCAGCTTGGAGCAGGCACTGGCTCCACTTTGGCTTTGGCTCTGAGTGTGAGGCTGAAGCTTGAGTTGAGCCATTGTTTTTCCTGGGCCATCATTCAAATCCAAAAAGAGGGGTCCCCCTGCCCCCATGGCTTTTGGAGAAAAAGCCTTGTCTTGGATTTGAGTAAATATGGTAAGTTATTCTTCAGCTGTAACTTATACCCTACTTCACATTGCTCATAATATCCCCATTATATGTGCTGTACAGAATACATAGCTCTCATCATTTTTACCATTTTATCATTTTAACTAGTAAAAGTGTGTCTAATACAATTTTTCACTTACTTTTTTTTCTTGTAACTTATATAAGCAATGTACTTTCAGTAGCATATAGTGGTCTAACTGAGCACCACGAATCAATTATGCATGGCATCAAAATGTATTTCTTTATCCAGTTTGAATTTGTATCCTTTAATTTTATGGAATGCTTTTTTTTATCCTTTGCTATAGGACAGCATAAGAAGGAGACTTCATGGGGCCTTTTTCAAGCAAGTTAGTCATTGGCTTTTATCATATTTCCCTTATTCCTCTCCCACCCAAACTACAAGTACAAGACCCAGCTACATAGTATATGCTTTGTTTTAGTGTATATTGTCAGGGCACCTCTCTGAAACCTGCAGGAGTTCTTTACGATTCTTATATTCCTATTTAATTCAATTGGTCCATCAATCTGATAATTTCTTCTCATTACTGGAAGCCATATGACATCTTCAAGAAGTTCACAAAATGCCTTTTTACAGATTCTGTCTTAGAGGCTGACAGCTTATACTTGTGAACATGATAATAGTATCCCCTTTTTCAAAAGACTGCCCAATTAATTTTGTATGTGCAGGGAACCACAGAAACAGGGGAGAAACAAAGGCAAAGAAAGAGAGGGGAAGGAGAGGGCAAAGACCTTGTCTTTTTTAGGAGTATAGTATTGTAGCTATGACATTCTCCTGGAGATGTACCCTGCTGGCAAAAGACTTCTTCTCCTAATACAGGAAGTCCCTGTTCCCCAAATTAACTCAGCTATGATCTTGCAGTGTAGCTACATATAGAGTAGGGTGTTTGCCTGTTCAAATAGCTCAGTTAAGGGCAAGATTGTTTTATCATGTTCCTAAGAAACATAGCTATGCCAGAAAAAAATTAATGGGGACCAGGCCTGACAGGAGACAAAGAAAGAGAAATGTTGGCTAGTGAAGGAGGTAAGAGAAACATAATATTCAGCTTTTTTCCCATATCTTCATTCCCAGGGAGGGAGGAAAAAGAAATACAAAAAAAGAAACATTAAAAAAGAAAATGAAGGACTTTTACTCTTCAGGAAAAAAAGAAAGACTTCCTTAAGCCAAAAACTTAGGTTTTCTGAACTTTGGGGGTTTGTCCTTCAGATCTACATACAGATTTTTCCAGCTCAAACCAACCTCTACAGAAATTGCCCTTTTTTCTTCTTTTCAATACAGTCTTGGTAGAAAGGCTTCCATACAGTAACACTTCCCTTCCCTTCACTTTAAAAAAAGCTGGAAGAACTCATCTTAAATTTACATGTTATTAAAAATTCTCCATGGGTAAGTACAGACATCTTGGATGTTAGATTGAGTTAAAAATGGCCTGATCAAAGGCAAGTCATAACATGGGAGGGCAAGTGGGTGAGGGGGGTACAGACCTCCCCAAATGTCTGTACCTAGCCTAGTCCAGATCTCCAGAGAATATTACTAGTATTTTTTCTGCAATTATCACTTTACTAATAATCATTTTCACAATGTGGTAAATGTATAGAACAGATTTTAAACATTAGGTTAGAACCTGCTATTGAATCTATTTGGTCACCCTCTCGCCAGAATTGATCAGAGTCCAATTGGCTTTGACAGAGTTACAACTAGGGATCTGGGTTTTCTGTTCACAATGGAGAAATGCAGTAAAACCCAGATTTCTCATTTAAAGTAGAAAAACCCAGATTTTCTCCTTTAAAGGAGGAAAATGTGAGAAACGGTGGGTTTCTCCTTGCAGGCTGGCAGAGTTCCAGCCTGCAAGGGGCTGGGGGGGAGTGAGAGGAGGGTGTCACGCGCATGTACACATGAACATGACTGCCAAGCAGCCTGGAAAGCTGCTCCCCACAGGCAAGTCTGGCAGTGGGTGTGGGGGTGTGGAAATTGAAGCCCCTATAGTGAGAGAGGAAGGGAGGTGGGCAGGGCTGATGCTGGGGCTACTGCCCAGCCAGGGCAGTACACAGGGCTTGGGGCTGCAATGCATGGATGTGGGGCCCTGACAGGGAGCAGGACAAGGCTGCAGGCAGCACCCCACTGCTGTGTGCCCTCCCCGAAGGTGCACAGGGGGCACATGCCCGCCAGATTTGTACTCAGGGCACGGACAGGGTGGACTGCCCACTGCAGGTTCAGACTCCCCACCCTGCGGCCCTCTTTTGGGGTATCCATGGCCCAGTGAGTGGGACCCAACACGGCAGGGCAGAGTGGCACAGGGAAGCTGAGTGCTGCTGCCACAAGCCCTGCACCACCATGGCGAGGTATCCCCTGCCCACACAGAAGCAGTAAGGGGCACAACTTTGTGCCACCACCCCCACTGCTGCCAGGCGAGCAGTGGGCATGTCACCATGGCCGTGCAGGGCTCACAGTGGTGACATCAAGTTTCCCCACCCAGCCCCGCTCTGCCCTGCCCTGCCACACTGGGTCCTGCTGGGCCACACAAGGCCTAGGGGGAGGTCAGCAGGGCAGGGAGCCTGAGCCTCCAGCAGGCAGCCCACCCTCCCCACCTCACATGGGCTCTGCCTGTGGGGGAGGGTAAGCCAGGCTCCACTCTGCCACAGCAGCTGCTGCCTCCCACATGTGGCAGCCAGAGCTTGGGTGCTGCTGTAGGGGGCCAGGGGGCTGCAGGCCTGGGCCCCTGGCCTCATAGTTCTGGCAGATGGGGGCCCCACCAGCACAGATGCGGGTAATGGGGATGTGGTTGGGGAGTGAGGAGCACCAGCAGGGCCCAGGGGGCTGTGGATGGAGAGTGAGCAGCACTGGCAGGGTCAGGGGGCTATGGGTGGGGAGCAAGGGGCAATAGCATGGGCAGGGCACCAGCATATTAGGGCTGCTCAGCACCACAAAGCAATGAGGGGGACAGCTGGAGCTAGACCCACGTCCTGGTGAGCAAAGGGGGCAGGGGGAGCTCTGATTTTCCATGATAAAAAAACCCCAAATCAAAAGCCAATATTTATAGGTATTTATAATTTATTTTATTATAGTGATTAAGGCTTTGGTAAGCTTCCGAAGTGCTTTAAAACTGTAAATATATCAATAAAACATTGAGTTCAGATGATACCTATATATATAGTGGCATTTCATTTTAATCATGGAAAAACATGGATTTTGGGGGTTTAATCAGAGAATTTGTGATTTTTGTCACAGAAGTTGTGATTTTTAAACAGAGAAAACCAAGATCCCTCATTATAACTAGGAATAAATGTCATGAAATGTTTTAATAGCTTTAGAACCCATGGGACCACTATTCACTACTGTGTGACTTAAGTCATCATTATGGCCTTACTTCTATAAGTCTGTAACAGGCATTTGGTTGTGTAGCAATTCTAACTGCTTCTTAACAAGATTTGATGTTCATTTTCCTGTCTTATTTATAAGGGGCCATATGCTAGGAGGAGGCGATTTAAAGCTAATTGGGAGAATATTTGAGCTGTTTTCTGAGGTAGAATACATTCTGACCAAACAGGGCTGGAACCAAACAGAATGTCATAGGAAGGTTTTGTGTCCCCCTGATTCTGATCAAACCCTATCACTTCATTAACCAATTAGCCTTGCATGTACCTAGTCCTCATCTCACTATCAGCCAGTCAGACTTCTGTGTGTTGATTTCTCTCATTCCTGTCCCAATCAAGCTTCTGTACACAGACCCTAATCCACCAAGTTCTAATTAACTGTGTTTATGAGCACCTGTACCCCATCAGTCTAATTAGTTTACAGTTAGAATACATATAGCCAAGGTTAAGTTGATCGAAATACACAATGATACAGGCATTCAGAAATGTTAAATTGGGCAGAAAATAACTTAAATTGAAATTCAGTCAACCCGGTCTCACATGTATTCACAGCATTGCCCTGGGGCTGAGAAAGCCCAGTCACTCACCCTAGTCCTGCCTTCCAACCATGACTGGCCCCCCAAACTCCACCCTCAACTGGAAAACCCCCCTTTGTGAACCTACCAACCCCCTCAAGAACCCCACCAATCCTGCCAACCCCCCTAGACCTGCTAGACCCCCTGCCACAAATCCTGCCGACCCCTCCCCACACCCTGAGTTACTTAGTGCAGTTTCCATGTGCGGCTCCTGTAAGTGGTGAACACTAGAGGTGCAACAATACAACAGTCCCATATCGGATCAGCCCCAATATAAGGAAAATTGATAGTACTGGCAATTGGCTTTTTTTTGGCTGATGTGGTCGATAATGTCACCAATAAATGCCCTGTGTATGTATGCAGCTGCAGTACAACACACAGGCAGCCAAGAGCACAGCCCAACATGGAGAGCAGCATCCAGCTGGTAAGTCTATCATGGGGAAAGGAGTGGGGGGAGGGAAGGGACATGGGGGGTGCAGAATGAGGCCTCTGTGGTAAGAGAGGAAGTGGGGCTGGGGTAGGGGCAGATGCTGCCCAGCGAGGGTGGGGTGGGGCAGGGCATGGGACAGAGCCGCAAGCAGCTTGTCTGAGGAGCAAAGGGAGGGAGGGGTGGCTCCCGCTTCTATATACACCCCAGGGGGACATGGCGGGCATACATCCCCAGATCTGTGCACAGGGCGAGGGCTGCCGCTACAGATGCACTGAGCTCTTCTTGGGGGGTTGGGCCAGGGCTACTCTTGGGGC